ACTGTACTGAAAGAAATAACCACAATAAACTTCTCCTAACAGCCACCATATAAATTTGGGTTTTTAAAGGCCCCAGCAAGTACTGTAGCCCATAAACTGTAAAGTGCTTAGCGGACAAAAGGTGCTAGTGCAGCATAGGGACGATTGGAAAGAAATGAAAACAGAGGGCGCCTGGGTGGCTCAGTTGGTTAAGCGACTGCCTTCAGCTCAGGTCATGATCCTGGAGTCCCAGGATCGAGTCCCACATCGGGCTCCCTGCTCGGCAAGGAGTCTGCTTCTCCCTCTGACCCTCCCCCCTCTCCTGCTCTCTCTCTCAAATAAATAAATAAATAAAATATTTTAAAAAAATGAAAACAGAATATGCTCTCATATTTTGTTAGAAAATTAGAGTTGGGGCGCCTGGGTGGCTCAGTTGGTTGAGCGACTGCCTTCGGCTCAGGTCATGATCCTGGAGTCCCGGTATCAAGTCCCACATCGGGCTCCCTGCTCGGCAGGAAGTCTGCTTCTCCCTCTGACCCTCCTCCCTCTCATTCATGCTCTCTGTCTCTCATTCTCTCTGTCTCAAATAAATAAATAAAATCTTTAAAAAAAAAATTAGAGTTGGATGGGACTTTGAGATCATGTGTTCTAGGCTTTCCCAAACTTTGGTCATTTGCATACCACTTTCACTTTATCCCCCTAACCATAAATTACTTAATATTTTTCTTTAAGTTCATGATTCCTAAAAACCATGGGGCTTCATATCTTGTTACATTTTTCGAATACACACTAAAACTACTAAAATAAAAAATGTTTGCCAGCAAACTGCACTTTGAGAAACACTCATTTACAAGCCAAGGGGCATAACGTTGACAGGGTGGTAGACTTATTCATGAGACAATCTCCAGATCTGACTGTCCAAATATGCCTGTGAAGTACCCCTAAACTTACCATGCAAGTGTCTCACAGTCTTTACAACCTAGTTTTTCTGCAGCTGGAATGTTAACCAAAAATAGTATCCTTTACCTTTAAGGTGTTTACACTCTAAATGGGGAGAAAAAGGGTTGCAAACTTAATTGTGTTTCATGTATTTACTAAGAAGGTATATCAGAATTGAGCTAATCTTGAAAAGGTAGATACAGTTATAGGAGTTGTAACAAATCCTGATCTTGGGAGGTGGCAGAGTATATTGCAAAGAGCAAGGAACTCTCTCCCAGGGGTGAAGTGCTGCATCATTTTTTTCTTTATATTTTTCAAACCTTTTTAATTTTCTACAGTAAACATTTATTACTTTTATAATCAATAGGACATATATTTTTTAAGTCTAGATTTTGCAGTCATTCTGACCCAGATTTATATGCTGACTCTGCCATTTATTATTATTTTTTTAAAGATTTACTTACTACATGTATCATATGATCTCACTGATATGAGGAATTCTTAATCGCAGGAAACAAACTGAGTGTTGTTGGAGTGGGGGGTGGGATGGGAGGGATGGGGTGACTGGGTGATAGACACTGGGGAGGGTATGTGCTCTGGTAAGCGCTGTGAATTGTGCAAGACTGTTGAATCTCAGATCTGTACCTCTGAAACAAATAATGCAATATATGTTAAGGAAAAAAAAAAGAAGAAGAAGAAGGTAGCGGGAGGGGAAGAATGAAGCGGGGGAAATCGGAGGGGTAGACGAACCATGAGAGACGATGGACTCTGAAAAACAAACAGGGTTCTAGAGGGGAGGGGGTGGGAGAATGAGTTAGCCTGGTGGTGGGTATTGAGGAGGGCACGTTCTGCATGGAGCACTGGGTGTTATGCACAAACAATGAATCAAGGAACACTTCATCTAAAACTAATGATGTAATGTATGGGGATTAACATAAGAATAAAAAAATAAAATAAAATATTTTTAAAAAAAAGATTTACTTACTTATTTCAGAGAGAGTACACAAGCGGAGTGAGGGGCAGAGGGAGAGAGAGAATCCTCCAACAAATTCCCCACTGAGCACAGAGCCTGATGTAGGGCTGGGGCCTGATGCGGGAGCCCAATGTGGGGTTCGTGGGGCTCAATCCCAGGACCCTAAGATCATGACCTGAGCCAACATCAAGAGTCAGATGCTTAACCGACACTTAACTGACTGAGCCAGCCAGGCTCCCCATATGTGCCGACTCTGCCATTTAAAGCTGTTTGTGATCTTAAGCAAGTTAAACTCTCTGCGACTTGATTTTTGAATGGATTGAATAAGAGACAACAAAGCCCTAACAGGGTTGTGGTGAAGATCTTATGAAAAGCTCCCATCACAGTGACTGGCACACAGCTGTAATCAATAAATGTTAATTCTCACTTTCTCCCTATATGACACATGAATTTGTTCTAAAGAAAACTGATACAACATCCCCTTTACAATGATCCCCACTCAAAGTCAAATCCATAAGGCCCTTGCCTTGTTACCTTGACTGAGGCTGGTCCCTTCCAGTTCAAGTACTGCTCTAGTTCTGTGCCCTTGGCCCGGGCCCTGGAGGAGTCAAACACTTTCCTCTTGGAACCCTGCATCCTGCAGCAGACGTTGGAGTGTCTCTCCAGCCTGAGCAACAGAAACTTGCGTCCACAGTGGCTACATTCGCCAAGTTCGGGCTCTTCAGTGGAACAGCTGGAAACCGAGGAGTCTGGTACCTTAGACAAACTAGGATTGCTGGTGGCTCCCCGCAAAGCGTGGCCAGGCCCTTCTGAAGACTGAGGACACTCCTCTGATGGCTCTGAGACTAGGTCTCGGATTTTGTAATTGCTTGCCACCAGTCTTTCCCTTTTGAGCTTCTGTATTCCATAATCAGAGAGCTGAAACGGACTAGAATTTTCTCGAGACCGTCCCCAAGTTTCATCCTCCCCCCTGTCTCTACTGAAGACCTCCTCAGACCCGAATTCTGGGGAGAAGGTAGGTTTGTATGTGGTGTTGCTATTACCTTTACCTCTCCTCCTGGGGAGTGTCATTCTCTGTAGCTCTCTTTTTTCATTTTCCTTAGCCTGTTTCTTTTCTTTCTGGATCCTTCTGAGTTCCTCCTCTGTCTTCTTCAGCTTTTCCCTTAGAAGGGTCTCTTTTCTTCGGATTTCCTCCTGTAAGCTCTCCCCTGCAGCTTCTAGTCTTTGGATCTGCACCCACTCAGTCCTGTTGGGGTTTGCAACAACAGCACGAGCCACAGCTGGATTCACCCAGTTCCTTGAATCAAAACTGCTGTATGGAAACTCTCTTGGTTCAGGGGTTCTTGGAGAGACATTCTGGTCCCCATCAATGCCAGCCTCACGTGTACTATGAGACTTCGTATGGAACACGGGTTTCAGGGGGTATGCCCGGTCTACCCCAACTTGCTTCTTTGTGAAGGGGATGAATTCCTGATTATTTGCTTTGGAATACCGGGACTGAGGACTTGATGAGTAAAACAAACCCTTTGCTTGGCCCTGGGGATTGCTTCTTGAATCTTGCTGGCTGATTCCAACACAGTGGGGATAGGAGTAGTTCCGGGCTTTTGTGCAGGTGTTCCACTTGGAGTGAGTGTAGAGATTATCCAGTGTCAGCTCTTTGTTGCTCAAAAGCTTCTGCCGGGAATTGTTCCTCAGATGCCCCATGGAGGACCGCTGAGGAGAGTCACCTTTTTCATAGGGCTTTTGTTTAGCTGAGAGGAGCCCTGGAGCTTCTGTTTTATTATAAGGAAGCATAACGCCCACAGGCAGAGGTGGTGCCAACTGGAGGCCAGCCATTCAGGGACTGGACTGAAGCCTGGAGGAGATTTAAACCAGATATATGTGAGGAGTTTGTCTGAGGTTTCCCCCCCCACTGCTAAAGTAAAACTGTTTCTACATTTGTCCTACCTACATATTCTCTTGAACTTTTTAGGGACAGTGGTGCTGGGTCTGCCAGAGCTTTCCTTCAATAAGCATTTGGTGAATGCTCATTATTTCCTGTGGGTGCTTATTATGTCCTGAGGATAGAAAAACGAGTGTGACACGGGTGTTCCTGCCACCTAGCTTTATTCCAGTACCAGTCTCTGCCATACGCAGTGATATTCCTGCCATACACAGCAGACTCCCTAGGTGGGGGAAAGATTTACTGGATCGAAAGTCAGGTTTTAGGCCTGTGACACAGGACAAGCAACTTTCCCTTCCTGGCTGGTTTCTTCACCCGTAAACTGAAGTTTCGCTGAGTTACATGACTGGCAATTAGGAACCTTAGGACTCTGAGTCCAGCCCTATCGGTTCACAGGTGAGCAAACTGCGGCCTAGAGGTAAGTGACTGGCACAAAGAGCTCTCCAGCTTCCCTCCTGCTGGAACCGTGCTTGACTCCAAAGAACACAAAGGCCGCTCGTGGCCTGCAGCAGGTGCCTGGCTGTGAAACCCTCACCCAAGAAGTCCCCGCGGCGCGGAGAGCGAAAGGTCTGTAACCTGAGAGGTGGAGGCCAGCTGACCTGGCCGCCGCAGCTTTTAGATCCGGAACGCTGAAGTCACGCACTGTCCCACAGGGTCAGCCGGGGCGCCCCCACTGGGGACTCCGCTTTGGGAACAAGCCCTCGCTCTTCTGTCCATGGGGCCCTTGGGAAGTCGAGGTGCTGACCCCATGTCTGCCCCCCCCTTCCGCGTACCTGAGGCTCTGGCGGACGGTTCCTGCTCAGGGAAAACCCCAGGACTCAGTTTTCCAGACCAGACCTCCCCCCACCTCAACCGATCGCCGCCCAGGCGTTCTCTGCGGGCCTCTGTTTTTCTCGTTGCCTGGAGACGGAGCGCGTGCGCGCCCAGCCCCTTCTGTAGCCGCGAACGCCGCCCGGAAGCGCGCGCAGGCGCAGCCCGCACGCGGTCCGGAGCCGCCCGCGAGGGGGGTGTGGTCAGTTTGAGCGTCGCTTGACCCGGTGTCCCGCTAACTCTGCAGCTCGGTCCCGCCCTGCCCTTGGGGAACGGGAGAGGGGGTGGGAGAGGCTTTCTGGGGCTCCATCAAAGAGCTTGTATTTTTCTGAGAACGATGCTCGCAGACCTTGGGGTGTGCCCTTCTCTGGCAAAAGACGGCGCCCCTAGATGTGCCTTGGAGTCGTCCTGCCGCAGGATTCCGGTGTCCGCCCACTTAGCGGGAGTGGGCCTGCTAGCCTTTCTTAGCACGCTCGGCTGCTTGGTACGGGCCCCAGGTATGGCTGTCCCTCCGTGCTTTTCCTAGCCAACAGTTTGGAGCTTGCGGTCAAATTTTAGCAGCTTGGCTAGGTTTTGCTACTCAGTATCTTTCCGAGGTAGTTATTATAGCCAATCTAATTATTTTGATACAATGTTTTACTCTCACGTGGTAACTCTGGCCGTCTCTTCGTGGGGCCCGAGAGTGACTCAGCCAAGTGTAATGATAATAAAGTTAACTACCAGATTGAAAATCTGTATAACCTGGTTTTCAACGCTAGATAATATTCTATAACTTGTTAACATTAGAAGAGCGTTTGTCTTCATGCTTTAGTTCGTTTGTGTAAGCTGTTTGGAACAGGCAGTTTACTTTTTTCCTGTAACTACTCAGAAGCTTCAGGCACATGGGAAATAAAGTGGACAGCAGTAGTCAGTGTTAATGCTTCAACATGTCATTATTACAGTTTTACATGTTCCAGAGAAATTCCTTGGTGGGCCCTCCAGGGCAGTCCTTGTTTTCTTTCCTAGCTGACTCTGTCGCCTTCTCTATATACGCAGTTTCAGACATTTCCCCCACTCTCAAGGTCCTAATTATCTCAGCATCTGGCCTGCCTGTCATCAACTCCTGCAGCTCCCCTCCAATCTGGCTGAATTCCCCAGAATGCCTCCCTGCATCTTGAATTCCTTCCCTCTTGTATCCGAGGAAAAAGAATCTTCCTCTTTCCGTGAGTTCTGTTGAATTAGTCCCTTCCCTTACCCTCCAGGAATTGACTCCATCACTTTATCCCTCCCTCTTGTTCACTTCAAGTTGTATCTATCCACACACCCCTTCTCTTTGTTTTAAAATGTTTAACTTTCCCCTGCAAAACAAACTTATTTCCTGTGACCTGCTGCCTCTCATCTTAAGGTCCCATTTATTTCTCCTCTTCTCCACAAGCCTTCTTAATAGACAACTGTGCATTTGGGGTCCCCATTCCCTCCTCTGCTCCTCAGTGTCCAGTCACTGTGGTCTGGCTCCCACCTTTTCCATTTTATTTAACTGCCAGGCTGTTGATGACTTCCCAATGGCCAAAGACAAAAGCTACTATTTCTTTAGCCTACTCATTTGCCATCACTGATTTTTCACTCCCTCGGAACTCTCTTCTCACTTGCTCCTGTGCCTTCTTGGTTTCTTCTTTACGTTTTTGCTCCATCTTCTTCCAGGTCTCGGGCATTTATGTCTTTTCCTCACCTGCCCACCAAATTTAGGTGTTCTCCAAAGCCCTCTTATTTCTCATATACACACAGTCCCAGACATTCTCTTCCTTAATGATTTCAACCAAATGCTGAAATTTCAGGTCTCTCCTATGTTTAAATGATACTCAGAGCTCTCTCCTTAGTTACAGACTCAAATTTCTAGCTGCCCATTTAGCACCTCCACATGAATGTTCCTCAGGAACCTCAAACTCAATATGACAGAAAACAAACTCATGATCATCTCCCCATTTCCCCATCTACATGTCCAGTGTTCCCGTTTAAAAAAAAAAAAAGATATTTATTTATTTGAGAGAGAGAGCACAAGTGGGTGGGGGGGCAAAGGCAGAGGGAGAAACAGACTCCCCGCTGAGCAGGGAGCCCGATGTGGGGCCCAGGGCTTAATCCCAGGACCCTGTAATCATGACCTGAGCCAAAGGCAGACGCCCAACCAACTGAGCCACCCAGGTGCCCCTTGTCCAGTGTTCTCTTTTGTGCTGAAAGCATTAGTCATCTTGCACTCCTCCCTCTCTTTGTCACCCCTTCTGTCCAATTAGTCAGCAGGCTCTGTTTAATGTACTTTGCAATGTCTCATATATGACTGTTCCTTTGCATTTCTACTGCCCTAGGTGAGTTCTTCCTCACTTTTCTTTTGGGACAGCATCACTCTACTAACTGCTATTCTTGCCTTCAACATCTGCTCCCAAGCTCATTTTTTATGCTGCTGCCAGGGTAATTATCTTAAATACCTCTGAGCCCATCATTCTCCTACTCAGTGGCTTCTTCTTTGCCTATACCTTCTTTACTTTTACCTTTCAAGCTGAAACACATAATTTTTTTTTAATTTATTTATTTGACAGAGAGTTAGAGAGCACAAGTAGGCAGAGCGGCAGGCAGAGGGAAAGGGAGAAGCAGGCTCTCTGCTGAGCAGGGAGCCCGATGCGGGGCTCGATCCCAGGACCCTGGGATCACGACCCGAGCCGAAGGCAGCCGCCCAACCGACTGAGCCACCCAGGCACCCCTGAAACACATAATTTAACATGGTATTTCAATCTGCCAGATTAGGTCCAGCCTACCTTTCCAGCCCTGCCTCCCCAGAGTCTAGTCCAGTGGATATCAACCCTAGCTGAGCTTTAGGACTCCCTGGAAAGCAACTTCTGGGGGTGAGACCTGGGTATTGGTATTTTTAAAAGCTTCCCCCAGTGTTCTAATGTGCAGCCGGGGTTGAGAACCCCTGGTCTAGCCACACCTGACTGCTTGCACTTCCTCTCCCTTTCTTTTTCTCTCTCTCTTTTCTTTTCCCTTTCTTTCTTTCTTTCTTTCTTTCTTTCTTTCTTTCTTTCTTTCTTTCTTCTTTCTCTCTTTCTCTTTCTTCCTTCCTTCCTTCCTTCCTTTCTTTTTCTTCCCTTCCTCCCTTCCTCCTCCCTTCCTCCTTTCTTCCTTCCTCCATCCATCCTTCCATCCTTCCTTCCATCCTTCCTCCCTTCCTCCCTTCCTTCCTTACTTCTCAGTGGTATTACCTTGACCCAAGCTCCATGCACTGGGAGGTGGTAGAGCATAACATTTATGGGAGTGCATTCTGTACTCAGACTGCCTGGAAATAAATCCCAGCTCCATCACTTACTGGTTGTGGTTGTGTAACCTGGATAATGTGCTGCTTCCTCCAAGAACACTTTCCCAATCTTCTCGGTCAGAATGAATCTTTTTGCTCCTTTGTACTCTCAAGTATTTTCTGTTCTTATTGTAGCAGAGGGCTGAGTCATGATGAGCTCTCAATGGATGTTCATGGGATTGACTAGCATGTTGTGTACTTTATTGTCATTATGTGCATGCATATTTGTCCCTTATACTAAATAAAAAACTCTTTGAAGACGAAGATTATATCATTCATCTTTGTATAGCCTACAGTGTCTCATATGTAGTAGACAATAGTTTTTTTAATTCTATCAAGAAACTTGTTTTTTCAAAATGAATTTTAGGGGCACATGGATGGCGCAGTCAGATGGGTGTCTGACCTTGGTTTCAGCTCAGGTCGTGATCTCAGGGTCATGAGAGATTGAGCCTGCTTGAGATTCTCCCTCTCCCTCTGCCCCTCCTGCTAGTGCTCTCTCTCTAAAATAAATAAATCTTTAAAAAATAAAGATAAGGGACTCTTGATTTCAGCTCAGGTCAGGATCTCAGGGTTGTGAGATCAGGCCCTGAATTGGGCTCTGTACAGGATGTGGAGCCTGCTTAAGATTCTCTCTCCCCCTAGCCCTCTGTCCACCTCCCCCTCTAAAAATAAATAAATAAATAAAAAAGATAAAAATAAAAGTGAATTTTAGAGAAAGAAATAACATCAGCCAGGCACTCTGTTTAGCCATTATTTTCAAATATTGCCACGAATAACATTCAGTCCAGCTTCCCACCCCACCCCCACTCTGGCACTGAGGTTATATGATTATTCAGGCTCTGGATCCTCACTTTTCAGTGGGGGAACAAGTGAAATGATTAATCTTTATGGCTTCCGTTGCAAATCCATCTCACTTCACCAAGTCTGCCCACCTGGAATATTCACATATGGAGCCTTATGTTATGAAGGGATGTAATGTATACAAGCAATTCAAAGAAGAAAAATAAATACTACAGTTTTCCTGCATACATTCTTAATCATAAGGGTAGCTAGATTCAAATGCCTGCAAGGTAACTGTACCTTTAATAATCATCAGCCACAATTCCCTTGACAATTCCGTTTTCTCAAAAGAAATTCAGGCATTTTGGTCATTTGGCTTCAATTGATTCAATGGTGATTCTGGAGCCATGGGTTATTTTGCATGTGCTTGTGATTGATTGATTTAGAGAAGCATTATTTAGATTTTTCTTAGTAAGGTAGAGCAGCTTCCAGAAACACAGGAGGAGGAATAACCTCCTCTGGGCCTTCCTATTCACATATCTCCCTTGCTACCAATTCCAGACTGGGGCATGGCCCCAAATTTGAGGAGAACTGAAAGAAGTCAGGGCAGAAAGGTACAGGCATACCTCAGACAAATTGTGGGCTCTGTTCCAATCACTGCAATAAAGTGAGTCAAATAGAAATAAAACTTTTTAAAAAAGATTTTTATTTATTTATTTGACAGAGAGAGTGAGAGTATAAGCAGGGGGAGTGGTAGAAGGAAAGGGAGAAGCAGGCTCCCCGCTGAGCAAGGAGCCCTATATGGGGCTCCATCCCAGGACTCTGGGATCATGACCTGAACTGAAGGCAGACACTTAACCAACTGAGCCACCGAAGTGCCCCAGAAATATAGCTTTTATATGCACTGGTTTCCCCATGCACTATATTGTAATCTATTAAGTATGCATTTGCATTATATCTAAAAAAAGTACATACTTTTTTTTATAAATGTACATACCTTAATTTAAAAAAATTGCTAAAAAATGCTAACCATCATCTGAGCTTTCAGTGAGTTGTAATGTGATCATACATCACCATAACAAATATAATAATGATGAAAAAGTTTGAAATACTGTGAGAATTACCAAAGTGCAGCTCAGAGACACAAAATGAGCAAATGTGGTTGGAAAAAATGGTGTGTTGGACTTAATCAATGCAGGGTTACCAACCTTCAGTTTGTAAAAAACGTAGTATCTGTGACGTGCAGTAAGGTAAGGTATGCCTGTATGTGTCCTATTCAATTTATTTATGTATTTAATGTTTATTTTCCATCTCCCACCTCCAGAATTTAAGTTCCTCCAGGCCAGTGATCCTTTTTGTCCACTAATGTAGGTCAACCACCTAGAACTGTGTCTGGCATACAGAAGGCTTTCAGTAAATATTTATTGAGTGATTGAATTTATTTCAAGTCCTTCTTCATCTACGCCTTTCTCCCCACGAAAAAAATGAGAAAAAATGTGCTTAGTGACAGAGGTGGGGTGAGGCCTGGGTCTGTAGAATCGGAGCTAAGACTCTGGACAGATCCCCAACCTGAGGCTTGCTACTTCTTTCAGACAAGAGCGTTTGGAAATCCCACCCTCTGGGCGGGCTCTGGGCTGAGCGCGCCATTTCTGATTGGTTGCTGGAGGTGATGGGCGTGAGACCGCGAAGGAGGAGCCGCTCTCTAGGCTTCCGGGCGCCGAGGTTACCCGGCTGTGGGAACCGTTGGCGTGCTGGTCGCCGGTGTAATCACGGGCGCCCGAGAGGAGGACGAGGAGGGTGAGCCTGAGATAGGGCCCCGTAGCGTGTCCATAGTTTGATACCCCTAAAATGTTAGTAGAAGGGGATTCTGGTGGCCAATGGAAGCTGGGTCCCTGGGAAGAGGAAGGGATGGAGAGGAAGCCCGACGGGGGACGGGTGTGGGGAGGCAATTGGATAAGCAGGTCATTGCCCCAAAGGGGGCCTCTTGGGGGGCACTTGAGACCCAAAGCTCCTTGGCCCAGGTGTCTTCCTGTTACTTCGCACACCCGGGCTTGCACGTGTCCGCTTGCGTGCTCTGGCGTTGGAGGACCATAATGTCAGGGTGAGGTCGCAGTGGTTACAGATGGAGAAGTGTGGGTCTGGCCCTTTCTTCCTCGGGATTTGGGGTCCTGGAATAGGATAATGAGCCCTTTACTTTTCTGGTCTCTGACAGGTGTAGGCATGAACATGGCAGAAGGGGACACCCTGATATCAGTGGATTATGAAATTTTTGGGAAGGTCCAAGGGGTGTTTTTCCGCAAGTACACTCAGGTATGTGGCCTACAGGCTTTGGGGACATACCTAGGTTACGTGTAGGGGAACAAGAGACCATGTTCCTGACGAATAAATGTGCCTTGGGAGAAGCCCGCTTTTTGGTAGCTGCATGGTGGTTTGTAGAGCAATGGGAATGAAAATGCCTTGCAGTGGATGAAAGACAATGTAAATGGCAGAATCATGTGCTGTTATTATCGTTCTTTTCTGACACCAGGGTACCTAGACACATATTAATGAGCTTCTCTCTTCCCAAGGGGAATTAAGGGATTCCCCAGTTCTCCCTGTTGTGGCCTCATCAAACCAGATCACAGTTCTTGTAGGAGGGCTAATGTTGATCAGATGGCATTTAAAGATTTTATTTATTTACTTAAGAGAGAGAGCATGAGTGAGGGAGAGGGGCAGAGAGAGAGGGAGAAGCTAACTCCCCGCTGAGCAGGGAGCCTGATTTTGGGCCCCATCCCAGGCTCCCGGCACCATGACCTGAGCCGACAGCAGACGCTTAACCGACTGAACCACTCAGGTGTCCCAATCAGATGGCGTTTAGGTGAACTCATGATAGTTATGAAATTTACGTAATTGCTTCCTCTGTAGCTGCTGCATTTTCTTCAGACCTCTTTCATTTCTTCAACCTTCTCCATTCCCCCACTTGATTCCTTTCTATTCATTATGGCTCTGAAAGAAGAGTTACCTCTTTAAGCTAAAGCTTTTCTCATGAAAATAGTTGATTTACTCCAGGGTAAGTAATGGTTAACACTGAACATGGAGTCTAGTGTTCCTATTAGAGTAATATGGAGTAACTGTGGGGATGAACAAACCATGGACAGCCTGTACCTCTGCCTTAATGTCACTAATCTTCCCACAACATGCACATGCAGTTGCAATCTCAATTTCCCTTCTGTCTCTGTTAAGGGGATATCAGGCTATTGCCTTCCCAATGTATGGCCAATCCCAAAAATAATGAGTTAAGACTGCGGAACTTTCCAAGTGTCACATTCCTTACTGTGGTACATAAAATTCAATCCTGAAATCTTTGAAAAATGAATTATACATGTCATTATCTCTTTTTTCCAATCACTTGCAAATCATTTCCTCCTGTTTCATACTCATATATGAAGTGCTTGTTGAAAGAGAATTGCTGAAAAATCATAGCAAGAGCTATGTTGCACTTAGCTTTGGTACCAATTATGCAGGGTAAATTCCTGTGACTTAGTAAATGGGGGTGACAGCTTCAGAGATTAAAGTTGTTGAGGGAAAAGGACCAGACAGTAGTATAGCCCATCTCTTTCTCTACTGTCCCCATACCCCCCAGTTCAGAGAGACAATAAAAGAAACAGACAACAAATACTGATTTGGAAAACTACAAGGAAAATGCCATCTCTGGGCTCCTGTGTGGCTCAGTCGGTTGAGCGTCTTCCTTCGGCTCAGGTCATGATCCCAGGGTCCTGGGATTGAGCCCCACATTGGGCTCCCTGCTCAGCGGGGAGTCTACTTGTCTCTTTCCCTCTGCTTGCTGCTCCCCTTGCTTGTGTTCTTTCTCTGTCAAATAAATAAGTAAAATCTTAAAAAAAAAAAAAATGCCATCTCTTTTTCTTCTTCTTTTTTTTTTTTTTTTAAAGATTTTATTTATTTATTTTAGAGACAGAGCACAAGAGGGGGGAGCGGGAGAGGGAGAAGCAGACTCCCTGCCGAGCAGGGAGCCCGATGCGGGACTCGATCCCAGGACTCCAGGATCATGACCTGAGCCGAAGGCAGTTGCTTAACCGACTGAGCCACCCAGGCGCCCCTCTCTTTTTCTTCTTAATTAGACTTGTAGCTTATTCTTTACCACTTACGGTCATTTAACCATGTGTTCATTTTAACAGTTTTCTTTCATGACAGTCTATATGTTGATATCATCTGGCCTCTGAATTCAATCCCATCAATCACTCATTCCTGGAATGAATGATGAGAGTACTCAAGGAACTTTTTTAAAAGTTGGAATATAATAGACATCCCATAAAATTCACGCTTTTAAATAAAAGTGTGTAATTTAGTGGTGTTTAGTGTATTCACAAAGTTGTGCACTAATTCCAGAACAAAAAGAAATCCCATTCCCCCCCAGCCCCTACTAACTTCATTTCTGTCTCTATGGACTTGCCTATTCTGGACATTTAATGTAAATGGAATCATGCAATATGTGGTCTTTTGTATTTGGCTTCTTTCACTTAACAGTGTCTTCCAGGTTTATCCATATCATAGCATGTATCAGTGTAGTAGTCCCCCTTATCTGCAGGTAATACATTCCAAGCCCCCCAGTGGATGCCTGAAACTGTGGTTAGTACCAAACCCTATATATACTATGCTTTTTCCTATATGGACCTACCAATGATAAAATTTAATTTATAAATTAGGTACAGTAAGAGGTTAATACTAATAATAGAAAATAATAGAAATACAATACTAATAATAGAAAATAATAGAAAAATTACAATATATTATAATAAAAGTTATGTAAATGTAGTCTTTCTCTCTCTCTCAAAATATTTTACTATACTCATCCTTCTTGTGATGATGTGAGATGATAAAATGCCTATATGATGAAATGAATTGAGATGAATGATGTGGGCATTTTGATGTAGCATTAGGCTACTGCTGACCTTCTAATGACACTTCAGAGGGATGATCATCTTCTGAACTGTGGTTGACTGAGGGTATCTGAAACCATGGAAAGTTAAACCACGGATGGAGAGGGACTACTGTACTTCATTCCTTTTTTTTTTAAAAGATTTTATTTATTTATTTAATTGACACAGAGAGAGAGAGAGAGAGAGAGAGACAGCATGAGAGGGAACACAAGCAAGCGAAGTGGGAGAGGGAGAAGCAGGCTTCCTGCCGAGCAGGGAGCCCGATGCGGGGCTCGATCCCAGGACCCTGGGATCATGACCTGAGCCGAAGGCAGTCGCCCAACCAACTGAGCCACCCAGGCGCCCCTACTTCATTCCTTTTTATGGCTGAATAATATGTCACTGTATGGCTATACCACAGTTTATATATCCATTCACCAACTGATGGACATCTAGGTTGTTCCCACTTTTAGGCTATTATGAATAATGATTCTGTGAACATTTATGTATTTGTTTTTATGTAAACATTGTTTTCAATTCCCTTTGGCATATATACCTAAGAGCAGATTGCTGGGTCACCTGGTAAGTTTAGGTATAACTTTTTGAGGAACTGCCAAACTATTTTTCAAAACAGCTGTACCATTTATATTCCCACTAATAATGTATGAGAATTTCAATTTCTCCAGATCCTTGTCAATAATTATTGTCTATCTTTATTATTAGAGCCATTCTAGTGAGTATGAAGTGGTATGTCATTGTGATTTTTTGTTGTTTTATTTCATTTTAAGGTATTAATGAATTTTAAAAGATTGAAGTCATACAAAGCGTGTTCTCCATCCACAATGGAACTAAACTACAAATCAATAACAGAAAGAAAACTAGAAAATCTCAAATACCTGGAAACTGTGCAAAACACTTTCTTAAAAAATTGTGGTAAAATAGGGCGCCTGGGTGGCTCAGTTGGTTAAGCGACTGCCTTCGGCTCAGGTCATGATCCTGGAGTCCCTGGATTGAGTCCCGCATCGGGCTCCCTGCTCGGCAGGGAGCCTGCTTCTGCCTCTGAACCCTCCCCCCTCTCATGTGCTCTCTCTCTCTCATTCTCTGTCTCAAAAAAAAAAAAAAAAAAAATTGTGGTAAAATATACATAATGTAAAATTTATAATTTTAACCATTTTTAAGTGTACAGTTCAGTGACCTTAAGTACATTCACATCATTGTGCAACCCATCACTACCATCCATCCACAGAACTCTTTCATCTTGCAAAACTGAAACTCTGTATCCATTAAACAATAACTCCTAATTCCCCCTTTCCCTACCTAGCTCCTGGTAATCACAATTTCTGTTTCTATGAATTACTACTCTAGGTACCTCATGTAAGTGAAATCATACAGTATTTGTCCTTTTGTGACTGGTTTATTTCACTAGCATGTATCTGATTTTCCTTCTTTTTCAAGGCTGAATAATATTCTGGTGTATGTGAGATACTTGGTGTATGTATGTGATTTTGTTTGCCTTCTCCTAATAGTTAATGATGTTAAGCATCTTTTTGTGTGTTTATTGGCACATGAAAGAAAATATATCATTTTTGGAGAAATGTCTATTTAAATCCTTTGCTGTGAGCTATGTCTTCTTATTGTTGAATTGTAAGAATTTTTGTATATTCAGGATACTAGTCCCTTGTTACTTAAAAGATTTGCATATATTTCTTCTGTGGGTTTTCTTTTTACTTTCTTTTTTTTTTTTTTTTTAAGATTTTATTTATTTATTTGAGAGAGAGAGAGAATGAGAAAGAGCACTTGGGGGGTGGTCAGAGGGAGAAGCAGGCTCCCTGCCGAGCAGGGAGCCCGATGCGGGACTTGATCCGGGGACTCCAGGATCATGACCTGAGCCGAAGGCAGTTGCTTAACCAACTGAGCCACCCAGGTGCCCTCACAGATGCCTTTTTATCAAGTTGAGTGTGTTTCCTTCTATTCCTAGTTTGAGTGTTGGATTTTGTCAAAATTTCTTTTCATCAATGAGTTGATCATCTGTTTTCATCTGGTTTCTGTTTTATTTATTAATATGGTTTGTTATATTTTATTAATACTGTGTTTTAGTTAATATGATTTTTAAACTGCAGTGTATTGATTTTTCTATGTTGAACCAACCTTGCATTCCTAGGATACATCCCAGTTTTTCATGGTGGGCCATCCTTTTTATATGTTGCTGGATTTGATTTGCTCATATTTTGTTGAGTTTTGCGTCAATATTCACAAGTGATACTAGTTTATAGTTTTCTTGTGATGTCTTTGCCTGGTTTTGATATGAAGGTAATACTGGCTTAATAGAATGATTTGGGAAGAGTTTTCTTCTGTTTTTTTGGAAGAGTTTGTGAAGGATTGGTGAAAGAGTCTGATTTAAACATTTGGTATAATTCACCTGTGAAGCCATCTAGTCCTGGGCTTTTCTTTGTAGGAAGTTTTAAATTACTAACTCAATCTCTTTACTTGTCGTAGGCCTATTCAGATTGCCTGTTTCTTCTTGAGTCAGTTTTAGTAGTTTGAGTCTTTTTAGGAATCTTCCCTTTTCATCTAAGTTCTCTAATATGTTGGCACACAGTTGTTTATAGTATTCCCTTATAATCCTTTTTATTTTTGTAAGGTTGGTGGTACTGTCCCCTCTTTAATTACTGATTTTAGTAATTTGAGCCTTCTCTCTTTTTTTCTTTATTGGTCTAGCTAGAGGTTTGGCAATTTAGTTGATCTTTCTTTTTTTTTTTTTTTTAAAGATTTTATTTATTTGAGAGAGACAATGAGATAGAGAGAGCATGAGAGGGGGGAGGGTCAGAGGGAGAAGCAGACTCCCTGCCCAGCAGGGAGCCCGATGCGGGACTCGATCCAGGGACTTCAGGATCATGACCTGAGCCGAAGGCAGTCGCTTAACCAACTGAGCCACCCAGGCGCCCTTAGTTGATCTTTCTAATCTTTACTATTTTTATCTTTCTGCTTTTTTTTTTTTTTCTTTTTCTTCTCTTTCAAAGATTTTGTTTATTTGACAGAGAGAGACATAGCGAGAGAGGGAACACAAGCAGGGAGAGTGGGAGGAAGAGAAGCAGGCTTCCCGCGGACCAGGGAGCCCGATCCCAGGACCCTGAGATCATGACCCGAGCCGAAGGCAGACGCTTAATGACTGAGCCACCCAGGCGCCCCCTTTCTGCTTGTTTTGAGTTTGGCTTGATCTTCTTTTTCTAGTTTCCTAAGTTGGAAGTCTAGGTTATTGATCTGAAGGGACTTTCTTTTTAGATTGAAACTGGAGTTGGTGATTATATTACTTAAAATAATGTTTCCAGAATATGGTTATGAGGAAGAATTAGCTTTCTGAATTTTCTTAGGAACAAACACTATTTGCTTCTTTAGATAGATACTCAAAATGGAACATGAGTCAGCAACATTATGGTATTTAAAAATAAAAACAGAATCAAATGCACAAATAAAACCTACAGGAAATTCCCATTCTCAACACTAATCAAATTTGGGAGTGTTTTTTTCACTCTTAGGAGTTCAGATAAATCACATTGCAATTTAAAAACTTATTTGACTTTGTAAACTCCTGCTCAAAACTCAATACAATCATTATTATAGCTAGTTACCATATAAGGTATGGAAGAGCTGGGGATAGCTGACTGTCCTAAGTTAATTTGAAGCAGAAGAGAGCAATTGTTATACAAAGTAAATTGGATGTAGTCTTCCTTAAAATCCATTCTCTGCATCCTTTTTTATGCCCTCATCTTTGGCACTTAATGCGTGCTATAGGTATCTTCTATTTTTCTTCCTTCCTTAATTTTCTCTGTATTCCTTAAATTGTTATTTGACTGCAGTCTCTTTTGTTCATTATACAAGCATGTCTTTGTTTTGAACATAACTGATTTGATAGGTACTTTAGTTTCTCATCAAACATGGTTTTGCTGTGCATAACATTTTCTTTGGCCAACTGCAGCAATTTCCCATATTTACTAGGTCACTCCTCTGGCATTTGGGCATGCAGTCATGGTAACTCCCATTTTCTTTTGTAATCCAATTCCTTCCATTTAGATAGGTTACTTAAATGATAACTTTTCTAATATTTCTGCTTGCAAACTAAAAAAAAATTACCTCTAAACATTGCTACCTTTCCCAGTTTTCAGTCATTCCACAGTTTCATGACTTAAAGGAAAGAACATTGGAAAGGCTAAGAGAAAAGCAACTACAATGATTAGATGGTCTTCATAAATTCAACTTTAAAGGTGTGATTATTTAGACAGAAGAGAAGAAAGCCAAGTAAAAACCTAATAGTTATGTAGTCTCATGAAACTTTGATGTTCAGAGGCTGATCACTACATGCTTTTTCCTTCTGTAGGAGGAGGACGGAACGTGGGCTTTGGATGCATCATAAAGACCTTGGGTTAGACAATTTTTCTAAAGTGAGAACAAAGGAATGAGTTGCCCAGGAAATAATGATCTTTAAAGATACAATGGACACTCATTCATCTGGATTTGTTTAGGTGTGGTCCTGGCTGAAGACAGAGAAGGATCAGATAACTTCATGCTTTTTCTATTTAATATACCCACTAGATTCTTGATTAGGAGAAGGGAAAATGAGCAAGATACAGCCCAGGATCCTAACAACAATCAGCCTTAGGGAATCATTTTAAAAGCATCTGATTTACTTTAGTACTTAAGTCTTTAGTACTTAACCAAATTGACTACGTAGTGAAAATTTCTAGTGCCTAGGTTTTATAGGGTAAAAGGAAATGGAGTCAAATGGCCAACACTTCATGTTAAGGTCAGTGAGATTCTCCTTGCTGTAGTTCTCTTGTGACTGTTCTGGACAACATCAAATTAGTTTCAGTGGCTTGATTCTAGGCCAAGATTCTGACAACACATTGTAGTCCCACTGTTTTGTTCAATCTCACTGGATTCTTCTCTCGTATTTTTCTTTCCCTTAGGCTGAGGGTAAAAAGCTGGGATTGGTTGGCTGGGTCCAGAACACTGACGAGGGCACAGTGCAAGGACAATTGCAAGGTCCCATCTCTAAAGTGCGTCATATGCAGGAATGGCTTGAGACAAGAGGAAGTCCCAAATCACACATCGACGGAGCAAACTTCAGGAATGAGAAAGTCATCGTAAAGTTGGATTACTCAGATTTCCAGATTGTGAAATAATGACCTGAATTTAAATTTTCTAAGATAAACTCACTGGTTTTGTTTTTATTGTTACTATAGAACAGTCTGTGTTCAGTATTAGAATTGGTCAGTAAGTTATGTTAGTATCAGATATTTGAATATTACTGTATATTATATGTATGATAGAAAGATGACAGACTCTACACAATTCTAAATAAAAATACATTAGAACCTTCTGCATAGGGTACTGTCTTTATCTTTGCTGAACTTCATTTGGGGCAAAATAAGAGGTATTTATTCAGTAAACATCTGTGGGAAGAGAATTTTGATGTAATTTAAAGAGAGCTGAAAGAGAAAACAGTTACTTTGAATCACCTTTTTTTTTTTTAAGATTTTATTTATTTGACAGAGGACAAGTGGGGGGAGCGGCAGAGGGAGAGGGAGAAGCAGGCTCCCCACCTGAGCAAGGAGCCCAATGTGGGGCTCGATCCCAGGATCCTGGGATCATGACCTGAGCTGAAGGCAGACACTGACTGAGCCACCCAGGCACCCTTGAATCACTTTTTAAAATGGTTTCCATGAAGTTTTCTTCAGGAACTTGCACACCTAATAATAATAAATACCACAATTGCAATTTGTTAGGTGTTCAAATGACATTTTGGTCTAATTACTTTTACTTTTCTGGAGTTTCTGCTGTCATTCCTTTCCTCTGGGCAAGGATTTCATATAAAGCTATGTTATGGGCTTAAATTACATCACACACCCCCAGCCCACCCCAAATTCATATGTTGAAGTCTTAACACTCAGTACCTCAGAATGTGCCAATCTGGAGATAGAGCCTTTAAAGAGGTAACTAAGGTTAAACGAGGTCATTAGAGAAGGCCCCAATGCAGTATGCCCCAGTGTCCTTAAAAAAAGAGGAAATTGGCCACAGACATGTATGTGCAGAGAGGAAAGAACATGTGAAGATAGGGAGAAGACAGCCATCTGTGAGCCATGAAGAGAGGTCTCAGAAGAAATCAACTTGTCAACACCTTGACCTCAGACTTCTAGCCTCCAGAACTGTGACAAAATAAATTTCTATTGTTTAAGCCACTCAGCCTGGTATTTTGTTAGGGCAGCCCTACAAGCAATAATCAGGATTTTGCTTCATCAGCCCTTCATGTTTCCCAGTTTGGCTTGGTCAGCCATTAAACAGGTATATAGGAAATGATTACTGGATTTAACAAGTTTGTCATAAATTACAATTTTTGAAAATAATAGGTTTCGATGAAAATGAGACAGAAAGCAAAAACTGAGGATTGGTTAATAATTTCCCAAACACCTATTCTCGCAATGTTCTTACAGTTCTCATTCAGTCAGAAAAGGAGCTGCGGTGGCATTAGGAACATATCAAAAAAGTAGATGAGTCTTGGTGTCTTTACCTGTAAGTTAAGAGGGTCGAGCTAGTTTCTCAGTCTTTTCCACCTCTGAAATGCTACAACTGTATAAGATGGAAGGCTGATTCATCCACTGAATGCCTAACAGGACAGGCACTGTAAAGTAAACAAAATGGATAAAATCCCTACCTTCAAATAGTTTACATTCTAGTGAGAGAAGACCTACAAAACACAAAATAACATATTGAATTAAATGGTAGGTAGTACGAAGGAGGAAGGGGGAAAGGAACACAAGAAAAGCAAAAGTGAAAATTGCTGGAAACAGCTTTTCACACCATGCTAAAGGGGTAAAACTATTGAGAATTCGGGTACCCATGTGAAGAGACCCCCCCACATACACACACCCACCTAGCTTCCCAATCAAAGAACAGCTGGTGCGCATGCGCACTTGGGTGTCACCGACAAACGCGCGTTCCCCGCGAGGCGCCTCGGAAGCGCATGCTCGTGGCGCGTGCATGAGCCTCGCGAGCCAACGTGCCCGCGCCCCGCGTCCGAGGCGATTGGTAACCGGGAGTTGGTGAAGCTGTGTTCGAGGTGACTTGGGGGAAAGCACGCGTCGAAGGGACGGTTCCGGGAGCCCTTCTAACGGCGGAAAGGCCCTGACGCCCGCCGCGGGCGTGTTTGGGACCCAGCTGCGCAGGGGCTGCCGGAGGCCTCCTGCGTTAGGGCGGCCGGGCTCGGCCTGGGAGTCGGGGGGAGGGGACGGGGTGGAGCCTGAGCGTGAGCCTGAGCCTGGGGGATGGTCCTGCCCCCGCGGAGCTTTCGCCGCTGGAGGCCCGGACCGAATCGTCCCCTTTGACTGTGGCCCGGGAAAGACTGGGATGTCATCAAGAAGTCGTTAAGTTGGGTAACAGTCGGAATACCAGTTAAGTGTTTACCTCTCAGTTGCTGCCGGCTGCAAAGTTCCCTACCTTAAAAAACATCAGATCTGCGATTATAGCTCTGGTGTTCCCGGGTTTGGAAAACTAGCCCTACCACCTGCGAGAGGGGCACCTCCTGCTGCTGTCTCACTTACGAAGAAGGGGGGAGACCCTTAGTGGCACTATAATCTTAATATTGTATACCTGACAGGAAAAGGTAAAGTCAAGTTCAGGCAGCCCCAGACCATCACTATTGTGAAGGTAGTGTGTAGCCATCTGTAAATACCAAAAGACTGTTAATACAGGGACCTTCTGAAAACTTTTTATCAAAGTAATGTGTGAACAAGATGTAAAAATCAACTGATACAGGAAAGTTGATAACGAAAAGGCAAGTCCTGCTTTACCCTTTTCCATTCCCAGTCTCTTTCCTCTGAGGCAACATTTAACCAATAATAATAATGAATAATAATCTCTTAATGCCCATTTCTTCTTGATACACAGCTTGATTTTTTAAATTTCCTCTGTCTTAACACTTCATGATGAGTTTTTACTAAAAGTCATGGTTATTGTGTAATGTATATTATGAAACTAGCTTGGACATTTTTTTTGTGAATTTCTAGCTGAATTTAATTTAGACATCTGTTTTTGGTGAAGTGATTAGAATTTTGAACACTGCCTTACGGGTCAACTTCAGTTGTGATTATGATTTCACTTTAGGGCATGTGGGATTTAGAAGGGAGCAGTGAAAATTATGAAATTGTAAATGCTGCTTTGGATATTAAATCCATTGCACCAAACATGAGCTGTATGATCTGCCTAGAGATCAAAGCTGTAATTTATTTTGTTTTGTTTTTTACAGTGACGTTTAATAAGAGATTTAATTTACCTCAAATGGTATTTCTTTGTAATGCTTGAGAGAAATGGATAATGCTGTGTAACTCTGAGGCTTTGATAGTGTGCGTGCTTTTTTTTTTTTTCTCCCATAGGCAATTATTTCCAGTGAGGGAAGGAAACCAGTGCCTGGCATTCTTACCAGCTTTCTACCTGCCATGATCAAGTGCTTGTCAGTTGAAGTACAAGCCAGATTGCGTTCTGGTTTGGCTATATGCTCCTTAGGCCAGTGTGTTGAGGAGCTTGCCCTCAACAGTATTGATGCTGAAGCGAAATGTGTGGCTGTCAGGGTGAATATGGAAACCTTCCAAGTTCAAGTGATAGACAATGGGTTCGGGATGGGGAGTGATGATATGGACAAGGTGGGAAATCGTTATTTCACTAGTAAATGCAGCTCTGTACAGGACTTGGAGAGTCCTAGGTTTTATGGTTTCCGAGGGGAGGCCTTGGCAAGCATAGCTGACATGGCCAGTGCTGTGGAAATTTCATCCAAGAAAAACAGGACAGGGAAAACTTTTGTGAAACTGTTTCAGAATGGAAAAGCCCTGAAAGCTTGTGAAGCTGACTTGACTAGACCAAGTGCCGGGACAACAGTAACAATATATAACCTATTTTATCAGTTACCTGTAAGAAGGAAATGCATGGATCCTAGACTGGAGTTTGAGAAGGTTAGGCAGAGAATAGAAGCTCTCTCACTCATGCACCCTTCCATTTCATTCTCTTTGAGAAATGATATTTCTGGTTCCATGGTTCTTCAGCTCCCCAAAACCAAAGACGTATGTTCCCGATTTTGTCAAATTTATGGCCTGGGTAAGTCCCAAAAATTAAGAGAAATAAAATTTAAATATAAGGAATTTGAGCTTAGTGGCTATGTCAGCTCTGCAGCGCATTATAATAAGAATATGCAATTTTTGTTTGTGAACAAAAGACTAATTTTAAGGACAAAGCTTCATAAATTCATTGACTTTTTACTGAGGAAAGAAAGTATTATATGCAAGCCAAAGAATGGCTCTGCTGCCAGACAAATGAATTCAAGTCCTCGGCATCGGTCTCACCCAGAGCTCCACGGGATATATGTAATCAATGTGCAAGGCCCGTCCTGTGAATATGATGTATGCATGGAGCCGGCAAAAACGCTCATTGAATTTCAGAACTGGGATACTGTTTTGGTTTGCATTCAGGAAGGAATGAAAATGTTTTTAAAGAAAGAAAAATTATTTGTGGAATTATCAGGTGAGGACATTAAAGAATTTAGTGAAGATAATGATTTTAGTTTATTTAGTGCTACTCTTCAGAAGCATGTGTCGTCTGATGAGAAGGGTGACCAGGTCAGTTTCCAAGAGGCATGTAATAGTATTTTGGATTCCTATGAAATGTTTAATTTTCAATCAAAAGCTGTGAAAAGAAAAGCTACTGAAGAAAACAGAAGAAACACACAGAATTCTAGAGATTCGGAAGGTATCAGAAAAAAGACAAATGATTCATTTTTGCGCATTTATGAATCAGATGCCCCAGGCCATAGTAAAGTGACGGAGTCATCTTTACAAATCAAAGATAGCTCTTGCTCAGAATCAAGGATCTTGGAACAACAGACAGCTGAAGTATCAGAATCAGGAGAAAATGAAAAACATAAAAAATTTTGCTTAGAACTTAACTGTTTAGAAAATCCCTGTGGAACCAGTTCAGAAATGTTGGCAAGCCCTTTTCAGACATCATACAGCTTTGAGAAGAGTGGAGATGATCTAGAAATCCAGAATGCAAGTACTGTTGTTAATGGCATGGCTACCAGTATCCTGACAAATAATGGAACTCGGAATCAACTAGAGAGATTTAAAGGTGCTACTGAAATGGGATGCCAGCCTCTGCCTTTTGCGACAACGTTATTGAGAGTACATGGTGCCCAGAGAGAGGAAGAGAAAAGAAAAAAACAACCTAGTGATTGTGGAGGAATAAACATTTTTAGTTATGGACAAGTTAAATTATGTTCCACTGGCTTTATAACACATGTGGTACAAAATGAGCAAACTAAATCAACTGAAGGAGAAC